AGAGATTAATGCTGGCTGGGCTAAGGAATCCATTCTGCTTATTTTTTTTTAACATGTATCTGCTTGAAACTCCTGACCCAATGGAAATGTCCCACAGGCCATATGTTTCAGGTCCTTGTATATGAGAAAGGCAATTTCCAAGTGAGGAGAGGGTGGTAAGAGGAGAGATGTAAATGTCTCCTAGGTGTAAATGTCTGTGTATCTGTGACACATCCTAATATTGATTTCATTGACTTTCATTTCATTCATCTCTGTATTAGGGATAGGAAGCTGTAGTAATGAGGACTGATAACACATGCTGGCTTTGATTTTTTTTTTTTTTTTTTTTTTCCCCAGATGTAGTTAAAGACCACACTTTAAATGCATTTAATGACACTTAAAGATGTAGGTTCTTTATGGGCTTTATTTTCAAAGTGCTAAGACCTTAGCAGTACAGACCACCTCGTGCAGGGAGGATGAAAGTTACTGGAGCAGCAGAGAGGCTATGACAGGACCGGTTTGAATGGGCGCCAGTGAACAAACACCGCCAGAATGGCCTCACTGCCCCATGGCAGAGCAGAGGTGTCTAAGCTTTCCTTGGGTGTGAGTTCCAGAGTAAGATGTGAGCCGCATCTTAGGGGTGTCCAAGGCTGATGCTGTGGGTGGCAACTGCTAAAGGCTCTGCCCGTGGAACAAGGATGGCTGGATCAGCTCCGAACACCTGATGAGGCTGCTGTTTCCATGCTGGTCTGACACCCCAGGGATACGTGTACCCTATGGCAGTACAGCCTGGTGTGATGCACGTAACCTGGGTCACGGCAGAAGGAACAGAGGCCACAGAGCTGTGCAGCCACCCCTGTCCCTAATGATCACCACATGACTCCATTTCACCCTGTGACATGAAAGCCTCAAAAGGTTAAAAAAAATTTGTTCCAGATCTTCCTGTCAACAGACATTATGTGTGCTGTCCATGTTACTTGTCTAAATGGGAAGGACTCTAAAGATAATATTTAAAATACCAAATGGCTTTTTAAACCATGCCTCTTCTTTTGTGGCAATAACTAAAGATGCTGTTCTAATCTAAGGGGCCAGATTCAGCCCGTGCTTTGGGACAGCCTCTTTGTACCAGGTAACCACAAGCCTTGAAAGCAGCATGAGTGGTCTTCAAAGCAAAAAGTGGAGATTTCCTTGTTGTGGATCTCTCTTCTAGATAGATGCAGAAAAGAATTTGTCCCTTCAAATTTTGTTCACTAACTTGTAAAAAAATGTTTTGGTGATCTGAAAATTTTGTCTGGTTTTTTTCATATGATCTGGTTTGATATCATTGCATACCCTTCTACAAATTACCTACGTAGCTTCATGTTTTATCTTAAAATATTTTCAACATGAATTATTCAACTCAACAGGATTTTTTTTTTCAAAGTTACTCATTCCTAACCTTCCTTTTTGCCTCTTTACCTGCTATCCAAAAAAATGGAGGCAGGGTGCTCAGAACATAGGGCCTGTGATAGATGACTGGATTGTTTGGACTCCATCCAGCAGAGGGTGGTGATAGACACCTGCTCAAAAAGCAATTAACTGCAATGTATTTGGAGAGACAAAATAATCCAGTGGTGATTTACCACCTCCAGAAAGGAGTTGTGTTAGGAACAGGGTTGTTGTTTATTGGGGGAGGGGGGAGTTAGCTCTTTTACTCTCCATTTTCAGGAATTAAGAAAAAGTTGCAAAATATTTTACCATATAACACAGGCAACAACATGCAGAAGTAATTAATAGGGACATTTGAAGGGAAAACAGGGTCGCACCATTAGCCCCTACTAAAATGCATCGGAGTTGATGAATTATTTTAATGGGACAGAATGACAAAAAAGGGACTGCTTCACCTAAGCAGGGACAGCTGGTCCCTATGACAAGGATACATTGCTGTCTTGTGGAGTCTGCCAGCCAGCAAGGCTGAAATAATAGCACCGAGAGAGGTGTGAACAC